TTTGCAGCTGCGGAGCGAAATCCTGAAGAATCACTTGGCGTTTTTTGTTTTTTTATAGCGTTTCCAGAGCCCTTGGAATGTATTCAGACTTAAACCGCAGAAGATAATTCTTGCCTAGAGAAGTAATTACAGAAAACAGGAGGTTGCTGCCGGAGTAGTAAATACATTGCAGGAAGATGCAATTTGACTGGATGGGAATCGCCCAACTCTCGTTAAGCTCTCCTCAAACAAACAGATGGCACTTCAGCCGCGCTGCAGTTTCTTCACCCTAATCTTTCCAAACCAGTCTGCAGCTCACCTGAAGTCATCGCTGCTTCCATTCTCTTTTTCACTTGGAAACGCAACAGAGCCATTTTTTCCAGCCAACCAAGGAGAGAGAGCAAAAAAAAACAACAGCAACTTTCCATTTGCATCTGGCCTCAAAATATGGCTCCTCTTGGGGTAAGAAACCCTTCCACCCTTGTGTTACACAGAACAAGGAAAAGAAAGGTATAGTTTTTGCCCCACTGCTCCCCAATTCTGTTTGTTTGTTTGAGTGTGGGAGAGCAGCTAAGCCACCATTCCATTGAAAAGACCCTGTGGGGAAAAAGAATTAGCTAGCAGGGAGGAAGAGGAGGAGGAGGAGGAGCGGGGAGGGGGAGGGTGGAGGAGGAAGGAGGAGGAGGAAGAGGAATTAACTAGCCCCAGAAACCATGATGGGTTTATGCATCCTGACACAGCATATCATACAAACCCGATCAATTCCAATTTATAGATGAAAAGAGTTTAAGCAGATTAAGGCGCAAAGCAAGGTATCAACAGAGAAGATCTTGCTATTTCTTTTTTATTTCCTTTTTTTTTAAATTTAGAATTTAGGCATTTTCCCCTTGATGTGAACATTCTTTTGGCAGTGGCCTGGATTCAAAAACAGAAACACCGTCCCCTCCCCTCCGCTGCCCCTAAAAGGAAAAGTCTGAGATAGGAAGGCTGACCCTTTCTTTAGCGGGCAAATTTCAAGCCTGCTCCAAGAAAAAAGCCAATACAATTCATATGGGGTTTTTGTCATAACAAAATAAATAATCCAGCCCGGCTTTTACCAAACGCAGAGACTTTAAGGCCTGGCTTTAAGGGCCACCAAAGAGATTCAAGATAACATCATTAAAAGTGTGCGGGGTCCCAATTGGCTACATTTAACTGACAGGTGGTTGAAGTCCACCCTGTTAAGGAACGAAATGCCCCTAGGAAGAGGGTGATGATGACACATGATATGGAGAACTACCACCATCCTGGAAGCATTTCAAGCAAGTCCACTGTCAGGATTCCAAGTAATCCACCCATAGCGAACGGAACTCCTAGGCAGGTAGATTCCTCAAAGAACAAGTTTATTGGGGATATCATATTGGCACAGACTGGTGAAAACCGACTCTAGAGGTTCCCGCGCTTTTCACCTAATTAAAAGTAAAAGTTTCCCCCCCCCTTTCCTAAACAGTCAGATGGTCCAATCAAGATGCTCTCTGGTTGCTTGGTAACATCACTCCTCCTCTCTTCAGCCACCTGTGTTGGAATGTCCTTGTTTCCCAGGAGAAAGTGTTTTGTTTTGGCTACAAATCCCCAGCTATCTCTATTCCCCACCCTGCCTATCCCTCATCTCCAGGGAAGCCCCCAAGATGGCCTCAGTCAGGCCAGCTCCAGAGTTCACCCCGCCCAACTTGAAGATGGACGGGGAATTCTGGAAGCTGAGGTCTGTTCGTCTTCCAGCTGCCAAGGTTGAGAACCCTGCTTAAGAGGAGAAGCTCCCAACCTGTCATCTTGGAGACAAAACAGATGGAAGAGCAAGATCTTCCACGAACCCTTCCTGGGGGGAGGGGAACCAGGAGTGTGTTGGGTCTCCGCTGCTCATAGCCGCTACCAGCTCAGCCGAACCGGTAGAATACCACCACTGGGGGGAACCACGGCCCAGTCATCCCCACTTCTGCGTCATCTCAACTGGCCGCTGTTTTATCTGCACCGGGAAATCGGAAAGGTCTCCACTCACCTGCTGAGAAACAGTTCTTACAGCCTGGCCACCTCTCCCTCCCCCACGACACACACATACACACACCTCCTTCGTTTGATGCCATGTATGGAAATGTCAGCCAACCCATTCGCAAGACGCGCACGCACGCACGCGGCGCCAGCCCTTCGCAACTCATTTCGGGACGTTTCCATCAGCCCCGCGCAGGGGCTGCTTGAGTGACAGGGCCAACTCCAGCCGATGCTCCCCTTGCGCTAAATTGAATTCCCTTCCTGCTGAAGCTGCACCAGACTTTCTGCTGATGGAAGATTGGGGAGAGCCGCTCGACATTTAGTGAGATGCCGTCCAGGCGTGTCAATTACTGTGTTCACTTAGCAAACTTTATTAGATTATTAGATTTTTTTTTTCCAGGCCCTGTGGCGTTTCCATGATTGCAGCAGGAAAATACCGCAAAAATAAGAGCTGGGTTTGGTTCTCCGTCTGCCACCAAGGATTCTCCCCACCTCATATATTCATATTGGAAAACATGCCTTTATTTCAGAAGTGTTCAGATCAATTCTGAACCCACCACCCATATTTAATCACGTTAAAATAGCCCTGAAAGGCACAGGGGGAAACGTTCCCCAAACCAGCTTCTGGACGGATTGTTAACCGTAAAAGCCAAATGTCCATTTCTGCCTCGTATTATAGCTAACATCCCTCACATCCCGGACATAAACTGTTTCACCTCCTTCCCTCAAAACGACACTATAGAGCACTGCACACCAGAACAACTAGACAACACAAGGAGAGTTTTTCCCAAACGCCGTCACTCTGCTAAACAAATAATTCCCTCAACACTGTCCAACTATTTACTAAGTCTGTACTACTTTTGTTATTAACCTTCTCATCACTCCTTATCACCCACCCCCTCCCACTTGTGACTGTATGACTATAACTTTGTCGCTTGTATCCTTACAATTTATATTGACTGTTTCCTAGTATGATTTGATTGCTTATTGTACCCTGTGACTATCATTAAGTGTCGTACCTGATGATTCTTGACTCTTGATGAAGGTATCTTCTCTTTTTATGTACTCTGAGAGTATTTACACCAAGGCAAATTCCTTATGTGTCCAATCACACTTGACCAATAAAGAATTCTTTCTTTCTTTCTATCTATCTATCTATCTATCTATCTATCTATCTTTCTATTCTATTCTATTCTATTCTATTCTATTCTATTCTATTCTATTCTATTCTATTCTATACCTATTCCATTCTATTCCTATTCTATTCCATATATTCTATTCTATTCCCTTCTATTCATTCCTTATTCTATTCTATTCCTATTCCTATTCCATTCTATTCCTATTCTATTCTTCATTCCAATATCTATTCTATTCTATTCTATTCTATTCTATTCTATTCTATTCTTTATTCCAATATTCTATTCTTATTCTTATTCTATTCTATTCTATCCTAAGCCCTGCACCTAAAGCAGTCAGCAAACCATGATTAAGGCCCAGTTGAACACAAGACACAAATGTTTTCGTATGGAGAGTTTGGCTCTGTTCTCTGACACTCAAGGAGGAAGGAGGGGAGGAAGCTAATGAGATCTCATTTGCAAAGCAACCAGCAAACATCACTCAGCTGGGAGCTGTAATGGTATGGAAGGCAGGAGGAAGATCTGCAGATCGGGCAGTGGTCTGATAAGAGGCAGCTGAACCCCCCAGAAGAAACATGGGTGGGGCAAACATCGGAAGAGACCTTCCCCAGTTTCTTGAGCGGTAAAGACCAGGGAGGGGGGAGGAAAGAGACGTGCTTTCACACGGGGGTGGGATTCTACCGGTTCGGACTGGTTCTATAGAACCGGTTGTTATGATTCTGCGCATTTTTGAGAAACGGCAAATCGCGCCACTGGCTGGCCCCGCCCCTCTCCGCCCACCCCTCCCCGCCCAGTCAATCCTTATCGTGCATGCGCAACATCGCTGACTGCATTCTCCCCCGCCCAGTCACTTTTAAAGGTATTTATTTTTCCCCTCCCAACGATCAGCTGTTCTGATGATCAGCTGTGCCAGGATCCCCCTCGCTGCGCCCCCCACCCGGAGGCTTCCTTGAGGCCCAGGAGGCCCAAAAATGGGGGGGTAAAGAAGAAGAAGAACAAGAAGAAGAAGGAGAAGGAGAAGAAGAAGGAGAAGGAGAAGGAGAAGAAGAAGAGGAGGAGGAGGAGGAGGAGGAGGAGGAGGAGGAGG